TTGAGAGCTTTGCTTGTTTCCTCTTTACATGCCTCTACCTTCTGGATAAGCATAGAAAGGAGGTGGAAAATGCAGAGAGTGGCGGTCAAAAGGACAGATTGGGAGGAGAGGAAGGAGGAGAACGTGAAATTAAAATGTAAAGTAAATAGATAAATGAATTAATGAGAAAAAGTCCTGAATAAAACTACTTTTGCTTGCTTGCCTTCACTTGCCATCCCATCATGCTAGCAAGTGTCTGTACCTTCCTTGTGTTTTGCTGTTGAGTTCATCTGTGCATTACTTATTCATAAATACATTTGAAACCTTTAGCTCAAAAAGAAGCAGCACATACAACAGTTGTAGAGAACAGAAAATAATCAAACTAGGAATGGAAATAAATAAAATATAAACAAAGTGGACAATGCAAAGAATCAATGAAACAAAATTCGTTCTTTGAGAAAATCAACAAGCTAGAGAAACGAAAAGAAGGAAAGGTTATCCAAAATAACCAAAAGTTGGAAAGAGCATATCCAAATTAACAAAATCAGAAAAGAAAATTTGGGGTATAACACACAGAATGACAAAATCCAAAGAATTATAACTTTATAGTTTAAAGAACATGTACCTCTCAAAATTGAAAAACGTAAAAGAAATGGATGTTTTTCTTTTACTTTTTTCTTGCTCTCAGAACCCCTTAAATTATTTTATTTTATTTTTATTAATTACAATTAATTCACTTTGTATCCCAGCGGTAGTTCTATCCCCTATCCCCTCCCATTCCACCCTCCATCCCTCTTCTTCTTCTATGTGCCTGCTCCACTTCAATCATAGGGGAGGTCCTCTTCCCCTTCCTTCTGACCCTAGCCTATCAGGTCTCATCAGGACTGGCATCATTGTCTTCCTCTGTAAACTGGTAAGGCTGCACCTCCCTCTGGTGGAGGTGATCAAAGAGCTAGCCCATGAGTTCATGTCTGAGACAGTCCCTGTTTCTATTACTGGGGAACCCTCTTAGATACTGATTTGCCATGGGCTACATCTGAGCAGGGGTTCTAGGTTATGTCCATGCATGTTCTTTGTTTGAAGTATCAGTCTCATAAAAGAAGCCTGTGCCCAGAATTTTAAGTTCTGTTGCTTTCCTTGTGGAGCTCCTGTCCCCTTCAGGTCTTTCTATCATCCCCTTCTTTTGTAAGATTACCTGCATTCTGCCCAAAGTTTGGGAATGAGCATGTTTTGATATCCTGCTTGGTACAGTCTTTCAGAGGCCCTCTGTAGGCTCCTGTCCTGTTCCCTCTTTTCTCCCTCTTCTGATGTCTATCTCATTTGCCTTTCTGAATGAAGATTGATCATCTTACCTAGGGTCCTCCTTGATTAGCTTCTTTAGGTGTACAGATTTTAGTATGATTACCCTATATTATAGGTCTAATATCCACTTTTAAGCGAGTATATACCATGTGTGCCTTTCTGTTTCTGGGATCCCTCACTTAGGATCATCGTTTCTAGAGCCGACCATTTGCCTGTAAATTTTGTGATTTCTTTGTTCTTAATTGCTGAGCAGTATTCCATTGTGTAAATGTACCACAATTTCTGTATCCATTCCTCACCTGAGGGTCATCTGGGTTGTTTCCAGTTTCTGGCTATTACAAATAAAACTGCTATGAACATGGTTGAGCAAATGTCCTTGTATATTTGAGCATCTTTTGGATATACATCTAGGAGTTGTATATATGGATCTTGAGGTAGCACTTTTCCTAATTGTCTGAGAAAGCACCAGATTGATTTCCAAAGTGGTTGTACAAGTTTACATTCCCACCAGCAATGGAGTAGGGTTCCCCTTTCTCCACATCCTCTCCAGCATGTGTTGTCACTTGAGTTTTTGATCTTAGCCGTTCTGATGGATATAGGGTGAAATCTCAGGGTCATTTTGATTTTGCATCTCCTTGATGGCTAAGGATGTTGAGCATTTTCTTAAGTGTTTCTCTACCACTCAGTGTTCCTCTATTGAGAATTCTGTGTTTACCTCTGTACCCCATTTTTTTAAGTACCCAAGTAGTATTTTATTTTTGTCTTTATTTATTTTTGTATATATTTTCTTTTTTAAACTTTTTTATTAATTATACTTTACTTACTTTGTAACCCCCCTGTAACTTCCTCCCTCCTCCCCTCCCAATCCCTCTCTTCTTCCTCCTTCTCCACGCATGCCCCTCCCCAAGTCCACTCATAGGGGAGGTCTTCTTTTCCTTCCATCTGATCCTAGTCTATTAGGTCTCATCAGGAGTGGTTGCATTGTCTTCCTCTGTGTCCTGGCAAGGCTGCTCCCCACTCAAGGGGAGGTGATTAAAGAGCAGGCCAATCAGTTCATGTCAGAGACAGTCCCTGTTACCATTACTATGGAACCAACTTGGACACTGAACTGCCATGGGCTACATCTGTGCAGGGGTTCTAGGTTATCTCCATGCATGGTCCTTGGTTGGAGTATCAGTGTCAGGAAAGACCCCTGTGCTCAGATTATTTTTGGTTTTGTTGCTCTCCTTGTGGAGTTCCTGTCCTTTCCAGATCTTACTATTTTTCACTTCTTACATAAGATTCTCTATACTCTGCTTGAACTGTTGGTGTTCTGTTCAGGAAATTGTCTCCTGTGCCAATGAGTTCAAGGCTCTTTCTCAATTTTCTTAAAACAGGTTTAGTATGTCTGTTTTTATATTGAGGTCTTTGATCCACTTGAAATTAGTCTTGTGCTGGATGATAAGTATGGATCTATTTGCATTTATCTCCATGTAGACATCCAGTTGAAGATGCTATCTTTTTTACATTGTATGGTTTTGGCATCTTTGTCAAAGATCAGTTGTCCATAAATGTGTTGGTTTATTTCTGGGTCTTCTATTTGATTCCATTGATCCACCAGTCTGTTTCTATGATAGTCCCACGCAGTTTTTATTACTGTTGCTCTATAGTACAGCTTGAGAACAGGGATGGAAATACCTCCAGAAGATATTTTGTTGTAGAGTATTATTTTAGTGATTCTGTGTTTCTTGTTATTCCATATGAAGCTGAGAATTTTTCTTTCAAATCTGTAAAGAATTGTGTTGGTAATTTGATAGGAATTACATTGAATCTGTAGATTCCTTTTGGTAAGATGCCCATTTTTACTATATTTATCCTGTCAAGCCGTGAGGATGAGAGATCTTTCCATCTTCTGATATCTTCTTCTAATTCTTTATTCAGAGACTGAAAGTTTGTTTCATAAGAGTCTTTCACATGCTTTGTTATAGTTACACCAACGTGCTTTATGTCCTTTGTGGCTATTGTGAAGGGTGTTGTTTCCCTAATTTCTTTCTCAGCCCTTTTGTCTTTTATATACAGGAGTGCTACTGATTTTTTTGAGTTGCTTTTGTATCCAGCAACTTTGCTGAAGGTGTTTATCAGCTGTAGGAGTTTCCTGGTAGATTTTTCGGGATCACTAAGGCATACTATCTTATCATCTGCAAATAGAGATACTTTGACTTCTTCCTTTCCAAATTGAATCCCCTTAACCTCCTTCAATTGTCTTATAGCTCTAGCAAGGACTTCAAGTACTATGTTGTAGAGTCATGGAGAGAGTGGGCAGCCTTGCCTTGTCCTTGATTTCAGTGGTATTGATTTAAGTTTCTGTCCATTGAGTTTGATATTGGGTATAGGCTTGCTGTATATTGTCTTTACTATGTTTAGGTAAGTGCCTTGTATCCCCCATCCCTACAGGAATTTAAACATAAAAGAATGTTGGATTTTGTCTAATGCTTTTTCAGCATCTAAGGAGATTATCATGTGGTTTTTTCTTTTAGTTTGTTTATATGGTGTATTACATTGATTACATTATATTGAACCACCCCTGCATACCTGGGATGAGGCCTCCTTCTTCATAGTACAATATACAGATTCAATGCTTTCCCCATTGAAATTCCAACAGATTCTTTACATACTTTGAAAGGAAAATCATCACTTTCATGTGGAAAAAAAAAACCCTGGATGGCCGAAACAATCATAATCTTTCAAAGAACTGGTGAGTTCAAGCTTCACTACAATGTACTGGTTACTGTACACAAACAGATGGCAATACCCTATTGCTGAAGACAGTGACAGCTACACAAATCACTGCAATATGGAGATGTTGAGCTAGTGCCTACCTGGAAACTTCCCTTTCACTGACTAGTGTTTATGGTTCTAGAAGATTCTCTGCGTGTCTCCAGAATAGAAAAGCAAACACCAAACCAGTTACAAACCCTCTGATCTCCAGTGGTGCCCTGCTTGCAAGAGGCACTAGTACAGTGGCACAAAGCTTATGGGGTTTGGTATAAGGTCGACTCCATGTGATAGAACCTACTCCATACTGGACTTAGTTGGGCATGTGTCTGATGCTTGATAAGCTGTGAACATAGGGGGAAACCAATTACTAGTCTGTAATTGTAATTGTAATTGTAATTGTAATTGTAATTGTAATTGTAATTGTAATTGTAATTGTAATTGTAATTGTAATTACTAGTCTGTAAAATGGGTCCTAACACCAATGTCCTATACTCATAAATCATGATTCAGCCATAGCCCTGAATAGCATGGTTTTTTTTTAAGCCCTTCTCACCTCTCATCTTACTATGAAAGTTCTGATGGAATTCACTGTAGTAATTATTAATGGTTTTCATGCACAGGGCTGTTGACACAGGCTGGGGACCAAATTTTCTCCGGAGAAAATTGTTCCTAGGGCATTTATGACATGGGCATTAATGAAATTCTGGCTGTGTGACACTAGAAACCATGGCCATAATAACATGTTTTCTAACTTGTGTTAAATAAAATCTTTCAGACTCAGATGCAGATCTCAAAGCCAGGATGTTTGAGATGTATCCAGGGAGCATGGTGCAGAATGGGCAGAGGGGAAGTAGGGAATATAAAGGTGACCCCAGTGCCCAGTTAGTGACAATAATACGAGAGGCACCGAGGTGTTAATGTGTGTGTGCTGTTTGTCTGCTCAGTCTTAGATCTTGGAAAATATGGGGAAGCTGCACGCTTTCATTATTTCCTTCTTGCTCCTGAGCTTTTCTCTCATCTTGTGCCATTTGACAGAAGCCAAATGCTTTTGGAGAATAAAACACAGTGAAGATGATGGAGATTTGCTAACTGACTGTCTATTTTTTCTTTACACATATTTGGATCTTCCTGTAGAGGAAGATTTTTATAAGAATCTCCTTGATTTCAGGTAACTTATTAGCATAAATGTCATGAATTGGTACCTGTGCCTCCATAGTGAAAGTCTGAGGGTTCCCGTCCTGTGTTTCCCTCTGTAAAATTAAGAAGTACATAAAATTTTCTAATTACATTTCCTGGATATTACAGAATTTCCTGGATATTACAGATATTATTAAAGCCACTACAGAGTCAAGCAAGTGGACTTGTGGTATGTGGGAGCATCTTTTGGGTATGTGCCCAGAAGTGATATGGCTTTTGAGGTAGATCTATACCCAGGTTTCTGAGAAACTGTGAAATTGATTTCAAAAGTGGTTGTACAAGTTTGAACTCTTACCAATGATGGAGGAGTGTTTACCTTGCTCCACCTCCTCCCTAGTATGAGTTGTTGGTTTTTTTTTTTTTAATCTTAATCATTTTGGTGGGTATAGGATGAAATCTCAGAGTCATTTTCATTTGTGTTTCCTTATTAACTAAGTATGTTGAACTTTTGTTTAAGTGTTTCTTGGCCATTAGAGATTCCTCAGTCAAGAATTCTGTTTAGCTCTGCACCTCCTTTTTAATCGGGTTATTTGGCTTATTTATATCTGGTTTCTTGAGTTCTTTCTATATTAGATATCAACCCTCTGTTTGATGTGGAGCTAGTGTAAATATTTTTCCATTGTGCAGGCTGCCCATTTATCCCATTGATGGTGTTCTTTATCTTGCAAAAGGTTTTTAGTTTCATGAGGTCTCACTTATTAATTGTTGATCTTCATGCCTGAGCTTTTGGTGTTCTGTCCAGGAAGCTGTATACTGTGCCAATGCATTCTAAGCTATTCCCCATTTTCCCTTATATTTAGTGTATCCAGTTCTGTGTTGAGGTCTTTGATCTACTTGGACTTGAGTTTTGTGCAGGGTTGTAGATAAGGAACTGTTTGCATTCTTCTACATGCAGAGAATCAGGTAGACCAGTACCACTTGTTGAAAACACTTTATTTTTTTCTTTGTATAATTTTGGCTTCTTTGTAAAACAATCAAGTGTCTGTAACTGTGTGGATTTATTTACTTCTGTGTCTTTGATTTGATTCTGTTGATCAAGCTGTCAGCTGTTATGCTAATACCACATGTATTTTATTGTCATTGTTCTGTAGTGCAGTTTAATATTAGGAATGTTAATATCTCCAGAAGTTTTTTTTTAAAATTGTCCAGTATTCTTTAAGCCATTCTTTAAGATGGGTATTGTTCTTTCAATGACTATAAAGCATTGTGTTGGAATTTTTATGGGGATTGCATTGAATCTGCAGATTGCTTTTGTTAAGGTGGTCATTTTTACTATGTCAATCTTAGGGATTCATGAGATGGGTGATCTTTCCATCTCCTAAAATTTTCTCCATTTATTTGTCCAAACACTTGAAGTTATTGCCATACATGTCTTTCACTTGCTTAGAGTTACCCCAAGATATTTTTTGTTATTTGTGGCTATTGTCAAGTGTGTTGTTTTCTCAGCCCATTTATCGTTTATCCTAGGCAGGCTACCAAATTTGTTGAGCTAATTTTTATTCAGCTTCATCACTGATGGTGTTTAATAGTTCTAGGAGTTCCCTAGTAGAATTTTTGGCTTTACCTATTTATGTTATTACATCAGCTTCAAATAGTGAAACTTTGACATTTTTCTTTCTAATTTGAATCCTCTTGATGTCCTTCAATTGTTTTATTAATCTACTTAAAACTTAAAATACTATATTGAATAGATATTGAGAAAGTGGACAGCCTTGCCTTGTTCTGTATGTTAGTGAAATTGCTTTGAGTTTCTTCCCCTTTAATTAATATTGGCCATAAGCTTACTGTAAATTACTTTGTTATGTTTAGGTATGTCTCTGGTATCCCTAAGGGGTGTTAAATTTTGCAAAAGGTTTTTTTTTTTCAGTGTGTAACTTAATGGTTATGTTTTTATTTTCTTTCAGGTTATTTACTATTGCCAATGTTGTTGATTTTCTCAAAGTATAAAAAGTCTTTGTTTTGCCGATTCTTTACATTGTTCTCTTTGTTTCAATTTTATTGATTTCAACCAATAGTTTTATTATTTTCTGCTGTCTATTCCTCTTGATTGTGCTTGCTTCTTATCTTTGAGAGTTTAGAGTTGTGATATTAAGTTGCTAGTATGATATCTCTTCTGTTTTATGTGATCACTTAGTGCTATGTATTTTTCTCTTAGCCAGTTGTTCCATAGTTTTCCATATATTGAATATTTATTTTCATTAAATTTTAGGAGGTTCTTATTTTCTTTCTTTCTGTCTTGATCCCATAGTCAACTCAGTTGAAAATTGTTCGGTTTCCATGAGTTTGTAAGGTTTTCTTGTTATTGAAATACTGCTTTAATCTGCAGTAGTCTCATTAAATAAAGGGGTTATTTCTAGTTTTGTGTATCTTTTGAGATTTGATTTATTTGGAGAAAGTTTCATGAGGTGCCAAGAAGAAGGAATATTCTTTGGTGTTTTGTGAAATGGTATATAGATATGTATTAGGTCCTTTTGGTTTATAAGCTCCAGTGTTTTTCTCTTAAATTTTTGTTTGGATGACCTGTTCTTTGGTGAGTGTGGCATGTTCAAGTCTACCATTATCAGTGTTTAATTGTTGATATGTGAATTAGGTCTTAGTGGATGTTTATTTTACAAACATGATTTCCCATGCATTTAAGGCATAGATGTTAAGAACTGACATGTCATCCTGGTGGATTTTTTTTCTTTGATGGTTATGAAGTATCCTTCACAGTTTAGATTCATTTAGGTTTGAAGCTAGCTATCATTTTTAGATATTAGAATGTCTACACAACCTTATTTATTATGTTGTTGTTTTTGGAAATTTTTTCCTTATTGTTTATTCTGAGGTAATGTCTATCTTTAATGTTGAAGTGTATTTTTTTGCATGCAGTAGAAGAGTGGATTCTGTTTTCACATCCATTTTTTTAGCCTGTATCTTTTTATTGAGGAATAGAGTCTATTGATATTGAGAGCTATCAATGAACAATGATTGTTAATTTCTTGTTTGTGGTGTGTGTGTGTGTATGTGTGTGTGTGTGTGTGTGTGTGTGTGTGTGTATGCTTCTTTTCTCCTTTGGTTTTGCTGGTGTATGATCATTTTTTCCCTACGTGTAGTTTATCTCTTGAGTTAGGGTTTTTTTAAATAAGTACCTTATGTAAGATTGGATGTGGATAAATATTGTTTATATTTGAATATAATGGAATATCTTGCTTTTTATCTATGTTAGTTGAAAGTTTTTCCTGGTATGGTATTCTGAGGTGGCATCTTGGCATCTTAGAGTATCCAGCATATCTTTTTAGGCCTTTCTGACTTTTGTAGTTTTAATTGAGAAGTTGAGTATAAATCTAATAATCTGCCTTTCTATGATACTTGGCCTCTTCCCCTTGAAGATTTTAATTCTTTGTTTGTTCTGTATGCTTAGTATCTTGATTATCATGGACTTTCTTTTCTGGTAAAATCTATTTGATGTTCTATAAGCTTCTTGTACCTTTATGGGCATCACCTTCTTTTGGTTAAGACATTTCTATTGTATGACATTGTTGAAAATATTTTCTGGGTCCCTGAGCTGGGATACTTTTCCTTATTCTATTACTGTAATTCTTCATTTGGCATTTTCATTCAGTTGCAGATTTCCTGAATGTTCTGTGTCAAGAGTTTTTAGGTTTAACATTTACTTTGACCTATGTATCTATTTCTTCTATTGTATCTTCAATGCCTGTGATTCTGTTTTCCATGTGTTGTATTCTGTTGGTGAGGCCTGCCTCTGTAGTTTTTGTTTGCTTACCTAAATTTTCTTTTTCTAGAATTTCTTCAGTTTATGATTTCTTTGTTGCTTCTATATCTATTTTCAGGCATTGAACACTTTTATTCATTTCTTTTGTTGTTTATTTTTGTTGTTATTTTGTTTGCTTTATTTAAGGGATTTATTAATTTTTTTCTCAGATTTCTTTAAGAGATTTATTCATTTTTTTTCAATATGGATGTTTATCATCTTTACAAAATTGGTTTTAAAGTCTTTCTCTTTTGCTTCAGCTGTGTTAGACTATCCAGAGTTTGCTGAAGTAGTATACTTAGGTTCTGGTGGTGACATATTGGATGTGTCGATTGTAGTTTACTTTTGGTTTCTAGGCATTCATAACTGACTAGTACAGTCTGGGCAAAATACCATGGTTTGTATTTCTGCTTTAGACAAGAGACAACTACTAATGGAAACAGAATTATTGGGAGATTGGAGGCAGATGAACATTTCATAAGGCTTAGTACTCAGATATATTTTAAAGAATAGCAAAGAATTAGGAAGGTTGTAATGTTAAGACCAGTATGATTTTTTTAATTTTTTTTTGTTTTTGCTAAGTTGACATTGTAACATTTACACAGAAGTGGACCAGCAAATTGAAGTTTGAATGACTCCAAAGAATGATATAATAGCTATAATATGTGGTATATTGTTTTATTGTATATATTCTTATAATATATACAGTATAATTTTTTATTTTTATTTATTATTATTTTTTATTTTTTATTAATTACACTTTATTCACTTTGTACCCTCCCTGTAGCTTCCTCCCTATCCCCTCCCAATCCCTCCCTTTCTTCCCCTTCTCCACACATGCCCCTCTCCAAGTCCACTGATAAGGGAGGTCTTCTTTTCCTTCCTTCTCATTCTAGTCTTTTAGGTCTCATCAGGAGTGGCGGCATTGTCTTCCTCTGTGGTCTGGTAATGCTGCTCCCCCCTCAGGGTGAGGTGATATATGACCATGAGAATGGTCATAGAAATTTAAATAACATTATTGATGAAAATTTACATTTGAGTGAGGTAAGCCAGAATCAGAAAGACACACATGGTATGTACTTACTTATAAATAGATATTATCCATACAGTATAGGATAAACATACTAAAATCTAGTCATAAGGAAGCTAAACAATGAGGAGGACCCTAGAAAAGATGCTTAATCCTCATTCAGAAAGGCATAAACACTGGAAGCAGG